ATCGACGGACCAGGGCAGGAGGTTGTTAATGCTTACCCCTAACCAACTCATCACGTTGGATACCCACGGCATTACAAATACAAGTGGGATAACCCAGATACCACAGGATGCATTTGGAGTCCCCTAACAAGGAGTTTGAGTGAATACGATTATACGGAGTAATAAAGATTGCTTCTTGCACCCGTGCAATACAGTGTCGCGAGAAGGCGGACACAGAAATACTCTTTTTGGTGTCTGGGCGCGCTTTGGCCTGGATTCGGTAATTACCGACCCAAGACACTGCTAGGTGTGTGGATGCCACCTGTGACAGAGAGGGGTTGAGCTGCTGGGTACGGAGCAAGGCAGCCAAGAATGATAAAATTCGAGATGATTTATGACGGAAACTGGCGCAGGCGCTCGGCAGATTTCCCAGTGGATAAGACCCTTCACAGCAACTCAACAAGGTCCGACGCGGATAGAGTGGATGAGCTGATGAAGACGAAAGACCAGCCATGTTTGACTGAGCCGCATCCTGCATGAGCAATTGTTCCAGGGGCAATGACACTGCTCCCAAGGCGACGGACAGGTGATCACGGGGGGTGAATGTCAGTCGTCCTTCTGAAGCGAATTGGAAAACCGGGATCCAATAGGCGCGGGCCAGCATTGATCAAAATGCGACTTCGTGACCTCGCGAGCAAGGGTTGATCTGTCGCTTGGTATCTGTGCATGGAGACACACTCTTATCCTTTTGAAGGGAAACGGGATTGGATGTCACCGTTAAAGTGGTCCACTGACGTACCCGGTGACTTCATGGCTGGGTGTCATCTTGCATACATACATACTCCGTACATATCGCGTTGAACCCCGGCGCCTGTGGTTCTTTCCGGAATGCCGACGATTTCGGATCTTCTTTCCACGGAGTTTGTGTGGCAATTGGATTTGTGTCGTGTACGGACTCTGCATTATTTGCTGGTGTTTTGGCGTTTATGCCAGTCGGCAGAGACTAATCAACATGTCGAGTATTTTCCGCAGCTCACCCCCGCCTTTCCAAATGGCGTCCTCGAGCCGTCCCTCGCAACTTTTTTCAAGTGGGATTACGTTTGGAAACCTAATCACTGATGGCTCGGGCCGCCAGTTGGCCGACAGCTAAGTCGTTGGGAGACTTCTCGGATGGGACCACGTGCCAGGCTATTCCCATGAAGGACTGGCGTAGCCTTTCGGAAATGTTTGACGTTCCCAAATGCTGGTTCTTGTGTGTAGGTCTGACGCTGCAGGCTTCCGTTCCGTGCCATAAATCATTTGACCGACACAACAAAAGAACCTTGGCAGAGACCCCGGTCTAGTGCACCATACACTTTGATAAAGTGGCTCGTCCACATAGTCGCTGACGGGTAGTAGTTCAAGTGCTTGAGGGCGGCGAGAGTGTCGTACGCCAGCAGCATGGCATTGCCTCCCTTACACAGCTGAGTCATGATGCATGCGTCTTGTCGTTTGGCTAGTTTACACATCTCGAGAGTGTCAATGCTTGCTTGCTCCCGTTGTCGCGGAGCTTAATAACTTACAACACTACCAGTAGTAGTAGTACTACTACTACAACACATGCAGATCGCCTGTGCATGCCGGAATGGTCTGACGTTATTGTAGAATCTGAAATCTGGGGTGCGGCATGACGTGACACAACGGTTGCGCTCATGAAAATGGCTTGAGCACTTGAGTAGCCCATAACGAGACAAGGCACTCGATAGTACGTATTGCACTTCTTTTTGTAAGGCAGCTATAGGCAGCTATAACGGCAAACAGCACACGGTAACCAAGGGTATATGTATGTATCATGCGTAATTTCCGCGGCTTTTAACTTGGCAGAGCTGTTGCAATTGCTTCGGTGGCCCTGCATCCACCATGTCTGCAGCGGTCAAGACTACACGATCTATGTACATGCAGGGATTATTGTGCATTCACTGCACTGGCCACGGTGCGCCCATGTTTGAAGAGTTTTCACTCTTTTAGCTTCGCCTGCATGTCATTGCCGATGGCGTACTGACTGGACCGTTTGATATATCGACATCAAACAAACGGGCGTACTAGAATTCACAAGATCAACCTCAACCAGAGTCGCAAACACAAATGAGTTGCACAGTGACACGGCCGTAGCAACCACGACAGACACGAGCTTCCGCAATGGAGTGTCTCATCAGGCATTGGACAGGCTGCGGTTCTATCTGTCCAGCGTTGATGCGCAAAGGCCTTTCCAGGCCCAACGATACAGGGTCATACTACTTGCCATAAGTTGACCTATGTGTGAAGGACGCATCCAGGACACCACAGAAGCATCAGGAGCACAGCAGTATTTAGGCTAGCACGCGTCGCCTTGTCCTGAATTGCCGCCACGGACATGGACTCCGTAAGGCGCCACTCGACACCATCTCGACGCCACTATGGCACTACCACCCCTTCCGCACACAAGGGTGCATCAATGTGTCGGCTGATAGAGTATACATAAAAGAGGCCCCCAAGTGTGCCGCTCCGAGGTATCCAAAGCGGAATCGAAAAGGCGCGGTGAAATGCTCTTTGCACAAGAAGACGAATCTCCCGTCGGGCGGTGACCGAGCGACGACCAGGCGGTCTAACAGAAGCTAGTGAACCCCCCTTCCCCCCAGCGTCAAGGGATCGACCGGGTCAATTTGCTTCTGTTAAGGTTCTTGGGCCAATACCGTGTTTGGAGAGCGTATATCCCGTACTTGGCAATGCCTCTTCGGCCCTGTGGCCAGCTCTAGCCAGCCTGACGTACCTTCGACACGAACCTCACCGCTCCAGGGGTGCTGGTTTGCAGCGGAGAGGCATGGAGTCATTCTTTTGTCGGGATTCGATAAACGAGCATGTACAATGTTGAAGCGGCGCTTGTCAGCCTGTCAGGGACGTTGATATCGTTGCACGTAGCCTATCATGACGGCGGCTGTAGTCACCGCTGCTTGATTCCAGCTGGGAGGGCCCGTGCCGAGATGATTGGAGTTTTGGAGACAGCAGCAGTGGCAAATGGGCACCAAGAATGGCAAGGTATCACGGACACACTATTGGCAAGTTCGGAAGACGTAGGTATTTTCTTCCAGCATGGTCGTTTGGGCCGTCATCCGGCCCGGACGTGTCTATCCCATCCTCCTGCCAAGTGCGCCAAGCAGTGTCCTGGGACAGGCTCTGCTTCCGAGTCTTTGGTTGACGAGCATGGTGACGGATGAGAACGAACCAGTACATATGTATGCACACATAATATGTATGTATGGTGGTCGCGCGCCCGGGCTCCTGGCCGGCACCAGACGCAAGGGTCAAGTTGAAGATGACGATGGTTTGACGATCAATTTGGATTTATCAGCGAGGGCAGCTGCCTTGAATGCTACTCTGGCGCATATCATTACTTGCTCTCATGCAGGCACTGGGTCAATGGCCATGAAGTCGAGATTGTTTTGCGCTCAAGTGCTGCAAGCGCAGTGACCTGTACAACGGTGCCAGGCGCTGCAAGTGAAAGTGACTGAACAGGGGCCGATTTGGATAACATGAACATTGAACGCCCGACCAGACCAGTTGACGGGACTTGTGGTTGGCCTTTATCTGCCTTTGTAGCTTTGAGAGCTGCCGGTGCCGGTGTCTATGCCAACCAGCAATTGACATTTAAAGAGCTGACAGATGAGGCCCAACTCCAGGCAGGCTGCAGCAGCGGGTTATTCGTCACGGCAGTCGCAGGACACGCAGATCCGAGTCTGGTGCATCAGAGAAGATTGAAGAGCAGATGACGCATCGACGGGCCCTGCGGATAATTCCGTATTATCGCATTCCAGCTTTGGCTAAAACGCCAAGGCGGCCGCGCACTTGGGCATCGAGAGCGAATTTTGATTTGCATCGTCCAAGCACCAGTTGAGCTCGCAGGCCGAACCATGACATCACATCAATCACATTGACATCCATTGCTGGCCCGCCGGCTACCTGCTACTTTACCAGACTCCGAGGCATGTCCGGACCGTGTTAAGTGAGGCTCCATGTCCTTTCTGACGCACGAACCTCCAGACGTCGTGGGCATCACCAAACTGCGGACTCGTGTGGGTAGACATGCAGGGCATGGGGGGGATATGCTTTAGTGTTTGGTACTTAGTTTGGTAACTTGCCCCGTGTGCCTGCTTTGGAGGTAGCAGCCATGTGCAATTTCTCCGTACATGTACGTACTTTACGCAGGTGTTCTGGACGCATGTCAGTCATTGCTTGCTTCTACCCGTAGGTCTGGTCCATGATGACTACGGAGAACCTAGGTAGTAGTATTGAATCGACTCCAGGGCTACCAAGGAGGGGCCTCCCCTCGACCTCTCTGCTCGGCCGTCGGTTCTCTCGGCCGCCACGCCATGCCAGCTTCCATGCTCTCGATTTATTTTCTCGTCGCTGGTTTTTGCATCTGGTCCGCGTGGAGCGTGGAGCAGCAAGTCACTGGTGGTGCTAGCAGTACTACGCACTGAGTAGTACTTCAGTAAAGTACTTATGTATATGGTACATGTACCTGGATGGGGTTGGGGCACGGAGGCCTGGAGCATGGCTGGGGGAACATTGAATGGAGCATCCCTCTCGAGTACGGAGTACGTACCTGGGCATGTGCATTGAAACCGCCTGGAGAGCCACGAGGCACCAGTTGACCTCATCAATGTTGCCAATCACTGCTGGCTACGACAAGCACTCCGACCTTTCCATTCGGCCCCTGACCCCGCAAGCGCCATATCCGAATCCCAGGCACGGGCTGTCGATGGGGAGAAGCGACGAATGAAGCAGGTCGACGATGGTGGCTCGGGTGGACTGCAGAGGCCACGGCCAGGTCCAGCAAGGTTCAAAATTTGCCAAGGTCACGATATATGTACACACAGCTCGTTGCTGGTGGTAGTCTGTATGTACGTACATACACATTACAATGCACATGGTATTACTACTCCGTACACTTTGGCACTAACAGTTGAGTCTTGTCTGATTCGGCCAAGGGAATAATTGTTGGACTAGTTGCCAAAACAGGTGTCCGGCAAAGCGACCATACATACAGTACGGAGTACAGTACACCCATCAGCCGGGAGGGGCGTGTCGCATGGACATTTCATCGTCATCTCGAGAACGTTCCTCACGAGATGGCCCACGCCCCCAGCCCACCCCCCAGTCTCGTCTGTATTAACGCCGCTCCATCCACCCCGGCCCGTGGGCCTTGATTGAGGCACTTCAAGCCTTTGCGAGACCCCTGCTGGAGCTGGCTTGATGGTGATGAAGAGACCAAGAGAGAGAGAGAGGCCAAGCTGGGGACGAGGACCAGGGGACTTGCGAGTGGCTCTCTTTTCTGCTCGGGGTCGAGGGGATACGCGCGCGAGCGACACAGAGAGAGAGAGAGAGAGAAAGGGAAGAGAAAGCAGAGACGAGCGCGATATGACTTGGTGCTTGGTGTTCCGTAACAGAGCAGAGCTTGTGCCAACACCACCATCTTTCAGGCAGGCAGATTTTACCTGACCGTCTTTTCTTTTCTTTTTCTCTTGTATACATACGGAGTACTCGGTGTTTCTTCTGGAGCAGAGAATCACCACGTTCCTGGCTGGCCAACACCATTCCCAGCCCGATTGCTGGACCAGGACATCCCTTGCAAAGCCTTGGTCTTTGGTAGAAGTTTGCGATCCCTTGCTCGACCTTCGGACCTTTGCCGGCCACTCGCCTGCCTGGGTGATACAGCACACCTGGGCTCAAGTCTAGCCTCGCCACCACACCTTGCAAGTTGCAAGCAACTGACGGAAGTGCATCTTGGCCGCGCCGCACACCGTTGTCTGGTTGTGCAACAGATCCGCCGTACAGTACGTCAACGTGCGGTAGTACCGAGTACGGGCCACAGATCAGAGTCTTGTGGCTTGGTGCCTGTGTCGCTGCCTCTGGCGTCTGGAAGTCTTGGACGCAGCCATCGATCCCATCAACGGCGCACAGCATCGTTGCGTCTAGCGCCCATTATCCCGTGTCCTGCGCGTACCAGACGTACAGAGTACTGCTCGGTACAGTTAGGCAGGGCACCTACAACGGGTCACCAAGCATTAAAGAAAGCATCGGGCCAGCAGCGCCGCCAGCGCAAAAGCAACGTCGAGTCGCACGCTGGTTTGCGCATCTGGTGGCCTGTGTCTCCTGCCCGTGTTGGTGGTTGGTGGTGGTGGTGCTCCCCTTGGACTTGGGACGGGTGCTACGACGTACGTACATACAAAACTCATTGTGCATGCAATCACCACACGGTTGTGTTGTATGTATGTACTCCGTACTCCATACTCCATACTCCCTACACCAGCTCCAGACACTGGCGGCCAAGCCAGACAGACCAGACTGCAGACTGCAGAAGATTTGCAGACCGCAGGACGCAACCCGCACACATCTCCGCGCCCCACTTCCGTCTAACTCGAACCTCGACTCGACCTGCGCGCTTCCTTTTCCTGGATAGCTCCAACTTGTGTCTTCGGCATCCAACCGTCTCTGCCCAACTGCTGGTCCAAGTTTGCCAAGTTGCCTCGCCTTGCCTTGCCGCGTCTCGGCCTCAGCCCAGGGTCGGTGCTATCTTGCCTCCGTCAACGAGCCTTTTGCCCGTTGCTTCTGCCTCGCCATCGCCAGTGGTCGCCATCCAGAAAAGCTACTTACTCGTCCGGACCGGGAGCGACTCATTCACCCATCTATGTCATCATAGCTCGCCAGACCAAAACGTAGTGAGGCAAGAGGCCAGCCGGTACATACACACATGCTGAAGCACTGAGCGCGCACACATCAGACCGGACCAGACCAGACCAGACCAGACATCAGACACTTCACAACTACTACGCTCACACGCTCACACACACCACACGTATACGTTGGTCCAACGCGCGCCTCTTCGTCCACACACCCCATGTCGACCATTGCTCCTTGACTCCCGATGTCCAAGACCCAGTTGTAACCGACAGACTACACTTCAGCTTTCCGAGCCTCATCGGTTTCTCAAGTCCCTCGGTGCGCCTTGGGTGCGTCTTGGTGCTCCTTGGAGCTTCTCCCCGGGGCTGGTGCCGGGGCCGGGTGCTCGTTTTGTTATTTCGCCCTCAGCCCATGGAAGCTGGGCCTTTCCGGTCCCTTGCCTCACCATCTGCTTCGTCCCTGACATGTCTTTGTCCCGTGGCTGTACTTAGAACGCACAAGCATGGATCCGGGACCAAACAGCAAACGTACTCGCTTTGGGTCGTGGTCTGCTTCTCCAACGGCAACTCCCCTTCCTCAACCTCACAACGCAACAACACCACGATCTCATCATACTCAAGCTCCCCACCCGCATCCCCCCCCGCCTCCCCCTCCCGTCTCTCACTCGCATCATCATACTGGACCGGGCACATATCAACAACAATATCCGCCACGGCCAGCCGAACTCGGATCCGGCCCTCCAGCTTCAGTGCCTATACATGGTCATGCGCAACCTCCTCTTCCTGATCACGACCGGCGACAACACGATCAGGAAACCCTTGCTCCCATGCAAGACCACTTTCGCCAGCCGGGCCATCCTCAGCAACAACAGCCTCATCACCCAAGCCAACCGCCGTCACCCGCTCATCCTGCATATCGTCAATATCCTCCCAGAGACTCGGCCATAAAACGAGAGTCTGGCGAAGATCCGAGGCGCTCAAGCTCGGCTGGAGGACATGCGCCAGACTCTCTGCCTCATACGCCACATCCCAGCTCAGTCTCGCATCCTCCTCCATCGCACCAACCCGCATCAGCATATCCGCCAGAGGGCCAACAGCGTCATATGGGCTATGAAAATGGACCTTCGGTGCCTCCCACCCCAGGAGTGTATCGCCCTACCAGCTACCCGCCGCCAACGCCGACTCACCAGGCTGCTTACGAGTCCCATGCAAGCTATCCTCCAGCAACAGAGCCCTTCTACGGCGTATACACATCGTCTGCCGCTTCAAAGAAGAAGAACACGAGAGCATCGCAGGTAAATGTGATTCCTGCTACGCTTTCGTTGCATGTGAGATTGTGAATGTACCTGCTAACCTTGGGCAACGACGTAGGCTTGTGATCAGTGCCGACAGCTCAAGGCTAAATGCGACGAGACAAAGCCCTGCAAGACATGCCGCGATAAAGGAACAGAGTGCCGGTACCGCGATCCGGTACCCAAAGCGTATGTGTTGCAGATGTAGACCGGTCCAATGGACAATCAGGACACTGACCCGTAAATCACAGGACCGATAAGGCTCAGGCCGATATTCTCGAGGGCATTACCATGCTCCAGCACAGCCTTGCCAGCTTGGTGGAGCAAGTTGGGCGTATGGACAGCCGGATGACCAAACTAGAAGCTTCTGTCGGCGGTCATCCCAACGGTAATTTGGTCAAGATGGACCCCGCTGCAGAAGAAGAGCAGCTCAAAGCGCTGCGAAGAAGTCCCTTTGGCGATGAATCTGAGACGGCGCATCAGTTTTACAGTAGCGGCACTAGTCGTGATTACTTGGATGCTGGTGCCGAGCGTGCGCCCCTGGAAATGATGGCCGAAGATGAGTTGGAGGCAGAGCCAGGGCCACCAGTGCCTCCCGGAGAGCCTGCGATTCCCATCAACCATACTACGCTTGCTGGGTTGCTTCTGGACTGGCCGTGTATTAGTGACATTGTTAGGCCACACCTGGAAGCTGAGGGTATTCGACATATTACGGAGTATCCCATCAGTCACGAGCAAAACCGCGGTGTACTCATTGTATACGGTCGTGGCGAAGACGCGCATCCTTCGCGGCATTTGAGGGAAATTACAGACCACGGCCAACTTGACATGGGAGACGAGTCCTCCGATACAGCATCTCCGTCCCCTGCTGCTGATTGGGGACACCTCGGTGGACTGAGCCCTGCTGACCAAGTGGTAGAGTATAAGGGGGGTGTCTTGGCGAGTGATGGAAACCCCGATTTCTCCGAAGAGAAAGTTTGGGCCTACGTGAGGAGTTTCAAAGATCATATTTTAAACATGCATCCAATCATTCAACCCAAAGTACTCAACGACTGGGTACAACATTTTTTGAACACCTTGCCATCAAGGTCAACATATTCAAAGTTTCACAAGCCTTCGAAAGGTGCCTTCGCGGTAGGTAGCATAACCCCAAGTATGGTCACGGAGATGGCAGGATCGAAGCGCAAAAGGTCACCTGTACCGGAAGGATCCGAAGTTCCTGCAACGCCGACCACGGGGAAATCTGGCAGACCCGAGAGATCAATACATAATGCACTTGTTCTCACCATTCTCGCCTTGGGCAAAATTTGTATGCACAGAGACCGAGTTTACGACGCCGTCCATCAGGTTGATCCTTTGCCTCATGGGAGTCCGTCCGCTCGGAATGGAATTCCACCGTCTCCCAGCCAGGGTTCACCCCCGAGCATCTCATCCCAGTCTCTCTCATCAGGGGGTCTGGTGGCGTCCCCGAAGGAAGCAGAGCGAGGATTACAGAGCAGGCGGTCATCGATTCATGGTGGGAGTACAGGGACATCAAGAGGCAGCCTCGGGTTGAAGAAGAACTACGAGGCTATTCCGGGCTTGGAGTACTTTGCGTTTGCCACAGACATACTCGGGAATCATACAGGCGCCTATAAAAACATGAAGAACATCTACGCCTTGATTTTTGCTGGACTGTACCACGGGCAACTTGCCCGTCCGATGGAAAGCTTTGCGTTTATTCATCAGGCTAGCCACAAGTTGCAGGTTATCATGAGACCGTAAGTTCTGTTGCAGGAACCAATACAGGGGAGAAAAAAAATAGGCAGTATCGAGCTAATTATGGTTTGCAGGAGCCTGGATAAGCTGCGTCGAATCAAGACAACGGATTTGTCAATGATACAAGAACCGAAGTATAATCAACTGGCTTTGACCTTTTGGACTTGCTTGCAATTGGAAAGCGATCTCATTGCAGAGCTGCAACTCCCTCCTTCTGGATTGCTCTCCTATGAAGAAAATATGCCGCATCCAAACATGAGCTTGTTGAGTGGATTTGACCAGAGAGTCCTCGACAGTTACTTGGCGCAATTGTATCTTCGAACGCACCTGAACAGCATCCATCGCATGTTTTACGCCCCAGACAAGATTATCAAGGAAGCAGAATCAAAGGAGCTAGACCCCAAGTTCAACAATGTTGGATTAGTCGCTGATGCTGTGTCAAACATGCAGTGGGTTGCGCGGAGTTTTGCCTTCAAGGAAGATGATCCCCCGGCAGACGACATTCTCGCGGCCCGACTGCGGGCCAAATATTGGGGCGCACAAGTCATCACATACCGGCCCTTCATTCGACAAATTCTACAGTGGTCAGAGAAAATGCAAAAGCATCCCTCAAGTCCGAACCTGCAGGCTGTATCGGAATTCCGACAAGGCATCGCGGCGCCGGTCATCGATCCGTCGGCGAAGTCTCGCAAAGATATTCAACCAATGGTGATCGAATATGCGAAGCGAGGCATCAAAGCGTTGATTGAGAGCACGCGGGCATTTCACGGTTTGGGATCGGAACGACCAATCATTACTAATGTCTTTGGAACTGCACATGCGTAAGTTTATGATGTCACGGAAGCAGAGACGGTTGCTAACGAGTTGTCTTTTTTCAGTCAATGGGGAAATCTCTTGGTTCTGTCGGCATGTTTTAGAGACGAGGTGCTCTCCTCAGAGATTGATGCAAGTCTTCTCATGATGCTATTTTCCAAGACCATTCACTTTTTAAAACAGTCCAGTACAGCGACGGGTTCTCTCAAAACAGACATGCACATACTGGAAGGCATTCAGCGAGATTTGTTTCCCCCGGGAGTCGATACGAAGATGACGAGAAGCTTCTCAAGCAGTACCAATTTACAGACGCCAAAACTTCCCATGGCAGCTCCACCGCCCATGTCCAACCCCAATTAACATATCGGGACATGTTGTTCTCGGCATTGGTGCAAAACGCGAATTGACTTGCAAGTCTTCA